TGGTCCTCAGCCCCATTTGGGGTGGGGGTCAGGGAGAAGGGGGGGCTCTGCCCTCTGCTGCACCTCAACCCTCAGCTGCAAAGAAAGGAGCTGCCTGAATTTTGGGGGTGACGGTGGCTGGGCCCATCCCTCCCTCCCCTCCCTCCTGGGTTCTGGCTGCGGGTGGCTTCACCCCGGCCATTGTTTGGGGAGGACAAAGCCTGAGCGTGAGCTAGGACAATGGCACTCGTGGGGACAATGGCACCCACAGGGACAAGGGCACCCGCAGCTGCCCTTGGCTGGGCCCTGTTGACCCGATCCGCGCGGGAGCAGCCTGGCACCGCAGCCTGCCATGGGAGCTGGGTGCAGGGTGACTGTGCTCTGGGGACCATGGGCATCCCCTCGGGATGGCCACATCCCCCCTTCACTTCCCGCTCTGATTCCCACTCAGCTTCTCCCCTGGGCAGGGATTTGGGGCTGAAAATGGGTATTTTAGAAAGGGAGCAGCTGTAAAACGTGGGCATGGGGCTGTGTGTGCTGGGACATCCCTGCAGGTGTGGGGGGACCCCCGAGCTGGGTCCTCCATCCTTGGGCACAGGGACACCCCAAGGCCCCCAAAGTCCCTAGGTCCTTGGCCCTGGGACAGGGCTCCTCCCTTGCTTTGGGTTTTATTTGGATTTCCTGATTCCTGAGTTTGGGAAAAGGGAGATTGGAGCAGCTTTGGTGTTTCCCTCTGGACAGTAAATCTGAAACGCAACCCGCTGAGCCCAGACTGGGACAGAAAACTGGGGATTGCTTCAGCTGCACATTTCACACCAGTGGGAGTTACCTGGCCATGTTGATCTTTTATATTATAATTTTTTTTTTAATTTGTTTATTTGCTTTTTGGTTTTGGCTGGCAGCAAGTTGTGGTTGAGGTTCAAATGATGAAGGTAGATGGGTGACCCGAGTACCCACGAGATGCTTTGTGGGAAGGAAAAAAATAAACCCCACCTGGTTGTTGGGGTTTTCTTTAATTCTAATTTAAAACAGTTGCCTGTGACAGCTCATGCCTTTTTCTTTTTGTTCTGCCTGTTTCATGCTGTTTACACGGCAGAGGAGCAGATGTGCTTTGGCTGCCCAGGATGGAGGGGGGCTGAGGGAGAAGAGGAGCATGAGAAGGAAAAAAAACCTGCCTTGGCCTCTGGAAAAGGGGGGAAAAAATAGAAATGAGGGGGAAAAAAAAAACAAACCAAAAAGCAAAATGTGTTTTGTGATTCCTTGTCTGTGATTGATGCTGTGGGCAGCACCAGGAGGATGGGCTGGGGGTGCTGGTCCCTCAAATCTCGTGTCCCTGGTGCAGGTGGGGTGGGTGAAGGTGCAGGGGGAGGTTTGCACATCCCTGCAGGGAAGGTGGGATGGAGGGGAGTTAAAAGGTAAGGAAAGGTGCTGCCAGCTGGGGAGGGTGCACCCAGGGAGATGGTGTCCACAGGGACGTGGGGACATGACCCAGCAGCCACCATGGGACAGGCAGGCAGTGCTGCAGAGCTCACAGCTGGGGTTTCACACCGAACCCCTTGCAGCTCCAGACTTAAATAAAGGAAAATAAATCTCTTTTCTCCTCCCTCTCCCCACCAGGATCTCCCCACCCCTCAGCAGGTCCCGCTCCTCTGCCCCATCACCCTCAGCCTCTGTGTCCTCTCCTGGGGTTGCCCCAGTTCTCTGGGGAAGGGAGAGGGGTGGGTGACCTGCAAATGGGTTTTCCAGAGGTTTTGAGGCTCGTAGACACCCCGGGAGGTTCTATCCCCTCCACCGTGCCGGGGCTTCCCCATCTCCCCATGGCCAGGGTACTGGTGAGCACTGGGTGGGGGGCTGCTGTTTTTACTGGTGCTGGGAATGACCCCAAAAGCTGCTTTATCTTGAATCCCCCCATGAGCTTCACAAGGCTTTGCCTGGCACTTTGACACGAGGGTCCCCAAAATCAGTGGCCGCTCCCTCCTCCTGCAGCCCCCTTAACCCCCCAGGACCCCAGCAACGCATCCAAACCCCCCAGCCCACCACACCCCAAAGCCACAAGGCGTGTATGGGGGTGGCAGCAGCTGTGATGTATGGGGGGATCCCTATGTGTATGGGGGGATCCCTTCCTGGGGTGGCAGCACCTGGTGGCTCGCTAGGGTGCAGGGGGCTCGGGGTGGGGCGGGAGGGGGTCTGTCACCCCAACAGCCGCCTCCGCACGGGGTGAGCGCGGCGCACGGAGGCAAACGAGGACCCAGACCTGGAGGACACTTACAGAGCTCAGTTATTTTTCACTTGCTGCTTGTTGTTGTTGTATCCACGGTGGTACAATCACGAGAGAGAGAGAGAGAGGAGATATTATATATATATACTTCTTAAATTACACAAGAAATGTACAAAAACCGGGGTGCGTTGCTGAGACGGGTGGTCGTTGGGGTTTTTCTGACTTTTTTTGTTGTGTGTGTGGTTTGGTTTTGTTTTGGTTTGGGTTTTTTTTCCTGTTTGTGTACCTGGCAGGGACGTGGGGCTGAGCAGCTCTCACCCACCGTGCCCAACACATGATGCTTCTCCTGCCTCCGCCAGAACCCTCCATCCCTGGGGCCAAAAAATTCATGAACCAACGGAGGGAGCGTGCAGGAAGGGGACGGTTTGGATGCTGCTGAGGGTGATGGTCTGGATAAAGATGAGATGGTTTGTAGGGAAGAGTTTGGGGTGGTAACTGTGCCCAGATCAGAAGGGATGGGGTGACCATGCTGGGTGGGAGCACCTATGGGTGCTCAGGGGCTCCTGTCCACGCCGTGGCCAGTTGCAGAGCCCAAGGGCAGGAGGGGTAGAGCCCCTTGGGGAGAAGCAAAGGGTAATGCCTGTGGCCCATCCCCTGCTTTGACGTGTCTTGTTTTTGACCATCTTTGCCCAGGCTGGGGTCTGTTGCCCACACCAAGCCCCCCTCATCTTCTGGCTTGCTGCACCATGCAAGGCTGGACATTGCTCATGCCCCATCCCTGGTCTGTTCCTGCTTCTCTTCAGGAAGAGAGTGGATGGGAACCATCCCCAGCAGGATCCAAGCTGGTTCTAACTGTCCCAGGCTGGGCTTGAAGGTGTTTCCAGCAGCATTGGGCTGTGGTGTGTTCTTCTCCAAACAGTGATGGATTTTAGGGCCATCTCACCCTGGATCTGGTGTGCGCTGGATGATCACCCTCGCAAAGGGCGATGCTGCTCCCTGCAGCACACGCTGGGCATCGGCTGGGGAGCCTCCACCTGCTCCAGACACGTGTGCAGCCTGGAGGAGGAAGCTGAGGAGATGCCATCAACCTTCATGGTAGGGCTGGTCCCACCTCACCTGGACATCTCAATCTGCCACCAGCCCTGCCCATGAGCAGGAACCTGACCACAGATGGAGCCAGGTGGCTGTGAGACAGGAAGGGACGTTCACCCTCTTCCTTTGGGTTGGAAGGATGAGCTGAGGAGAACATCATGAAAACACCAAAGAAATGGAGTCAGACTCCAATCCCTCTTATTTTTTGGGGGATGAATTTGATTGGTCCCGGGACCTTCAGCGTCATGCATTTTTGGAACAGTTCCAGCCAATCAGAAGGCGGCTCATGATTTCAGTATCTTTAAAAACCAACCAATCAGGAGCTCTCGCTGGTTGGGCTTTAAGATCTTGAGGTATCAGCTTTTCGCTCAGAAAAAATAACAATAAACCAACTACCGTAGACGAATGGGCAACGTCATCCTTCGCTTCACCTTATCTTAGAAGAAGAAAGCAACTATGCAAAATACTCTTCGGAGACAACTCTTAAAAAAATAAAAGCTTGGTCGGAAAAATATGTCTGAATCTCTAAGTGTGAGGAGTGAAGGACCAGACGGCAAAATGGCTGGTTGGCTGGTGGAGAGATGGAGACAACGGAGGGTGGATTTATCTGCTGACAGCGATGAGGAGCACACCACAAGACTTAGATTGCCTCCACGTAGTTGGCGGGGTAGAGACCTAACTGCCCGTTGTCCAAGCGCCCTTTGCACCATCCTTGTTCGTCTTCTTCACCAAGCTTGGTTAGTTCATCACCTGGAGAGGAAGGTGGGAAGGGGAGAGCTCATTGCAGGTGTTGGAGCTTCTTCTATCCCCTCATTTCTCCCCTGGATGGAGCTGCTGGGAGTTTCTAGGACTGATCCTGAGCATGCAGGTTTGTAGGGTAGAAAGGTAAGGGGTGACCCACGAGGCCTGATGTTCCCCATCCCACCATCTCTCTGCTCCCACCCAGGTTTGGTCTCAGCTTGTGCCTTCCCCTTTCTGCCAGGTCAATATTTTGAAGGGCTGGGATAACCCAGAAATGATTTGAGGGATTTCACACCAAAAAAAACAGAGCAATATTGGACCTGCAACTCCAGCAGACGAGCTCTGGGTGACCCAGCAACGGTGATAGACCATACCTGCTTTGAAGCTGAGCTCATCCTGCTCCTGCCCATCGTAGTCGTACAGAGCCCGCACCCGCACACCCTTCCCCACCGACTCCTCGTCGAAGGGGTTGGTGCCACCGTTGGCCTCACTGGTGTTGAAGGAGTTGCTGCCTTCATCATCAGACCACTCGGCGCTGTAGGTCTGCCCACGGTCATGGCTGCTCACGCTGGGGTGGGGAGGAAGGAGGGAGAGGGGGCATCAGAGCGGGTGAGGGGACAGCAGGGTGGGCACCACGTGCCATGGACATCTGGGAGGATGCTGTGGCTTTCCTGAGGTTAAAGGGGAGCGGGGACTGCAGTGAGCAGGACC